AGGTCTCAGATAAGGCTGTATAAGCTGCATTTTTAGCAAGCCTTCAGGGCAGGTGGACTAGAGTTTATGGTTTGCTACGCTCAGGTGGCTGCTGGTTGTGGGAAGTGTGTGTGTGTGTGTGTGTGTGTGTGTGTCCCCGCCCTCCAGATTGTGTTTGCTTTCGCAGCCAGCCAGTAGCTCGTTTGAAATCCAAGAAGTCGTTTCATTGGTGAAGGGTAGAGGAGGCTGGAGAAAGGGTGAACTATGGCCCCTCAGTAGGACCAATTCTGTTTTTCCTGCTCATGCCTGGCACAGTCCCCAGTTGCCCGCTGCCAGGTTACAGCTATTGGGCAATCATGTACTTCCTGGCTTTCCTTTCTCTTTCTATCAAGCGCAAGGACCCGATGAGGCTCCAGGCAGGAGGCTGCTGGGCCCAGGCTTTGTCAGGGGCTTAGCCCGAAAATAGCTGCTCGTGCCGCCTGCCTCTTTCCTCTTGTTGAGGGCAAGGACTGGGTCATGGCGACTGGGGTGGCCCAGAAACTGAGACTCAAGTTGAGACCCTATTAGGCTTTGGCCTGGATTGGGGTGTGTGTGTGTGTGTGTGTGTGTGTGTATTTATGCTAATCGCACATTGATACATTGATGATAATGTAGCTCTTCCACGGATTCTTCCTGAAAATTCAGCCTCTCCACTATCCCTGGTCCCCAACTGGTCTTTGGCTTTTTGTCTTGGATTCGGGTGTGTGTGTGTGTGTGTGTGTGTGTGTGTGTGTGTGTGTGAGCATGTGTATTTAGCAAGACTGAGATCTCATTTGATTCTAGAGTAAGATAAACTAACTTTCCATTTTCAAACCTACAGTGGCTCTAGGGAGAGATTCCAGCTCTTGTTACATCAGAAAGGAGAGCTAGAATTCAGAGTACGTCTCTTGCATGTATGGAGCCTGCGCCAGTCCAGTGGGATCTGCTCTGGTCTTCCCTGATTCATCAGTCCACCACCTGGTGGGAACTTGCTAAGGGCCAGCAGCTACCCTGCTGTGTTAATGCTTTCTCAGCGCTCCCCTCCCCCAGCCTGTCTCTTGGCCCTCTCTGAAGAGGCCCAGTGTCTCGGGATACTTCAGGAGAGTAGAGTGGGTTCACAAGAGCTGCCCAGAAGCTCTCCCCAAATGAGCTGAGACTGTTGGGGGTACTCCTATCCCGGTGTGCTCTGACTTCCCAGGCTCAGTGCCCATCCTTATCATGCCTGGATGGCATTTTCAGGAGCCACATGGGACTGTTGGGAAGAAGGGCAAGGCAGTGGGCGGGACTAATGGCTGCTCTGGAAGGGCATCAAAGGAAAACCAAATATTTGCTCTGGATCTTCTGGTCTCTTGAGTACACGCCTGGCATCCAAATGACATTTCCTCCTGTGGCTTTTGCCAGCTCCTCTCGCCTCCTCTTTCTCCAGCGAGAAAAAAGCAAAATGTGTGCTAGGGCCCCTGGAGTGGTAGAGGACCCACGCCCTTGGAAGGGTCTGCATGGAGTTCTCACTTCCAAGAGTGGCCACAAGGGGACTGCTCTGGATGTGGGGGTGCTTCTGTCTCTTGTAGACGGGATTGCTGCGTGGCCTTCAATGTGCTGAAAATGACTGAGTTGGTCTGATCCTTTCAATGACAGATGGGGAAACTGAGAGCTGGAGAAGAGGTGGGGCTGGTTCCAGTGAGTGGCATGCTGGCCTCTGACTGACAGCCTAGACCTTGGCCCTGGCCCTGGATGACCAAGTCGTGGGAAGCAGCGGTGAGATGAGCCCAGGCTTGCCTGTGCTTTCTCATCGCAATGCTCAAGCTGCCTGCCCCAGTGCTGCAGGCAGAGCTTAGGGTGGGAGGAGTTGCTGGAACCAACCCCACCGCACCCTCCACGGAGACTGTGCTGAGGGACCTGGGGTGGGTGAACCACTAGGCATGCTCCTTTCTCAGCTTTAACCTGTCTGGCCGCTTAGCTCAAGGGTCCGATGACAGTGCTCGCGTCCTGCTGTGTGGCTTGCAGTAGGAACTCCCTGGGGCTCAGTTTCATCTGCAAAATGGGCATGATGGCAATGCCTGCTCTCTGGTGTTCTTATAGGATTATATAAGGTAATAGATGCAACCTGCCTCCCACGGTCGGGCTTATGGTCTCTGCCAGGCTGACTTTGATCTGTTTCTGGGGAGACCCCCACCGCCTCCATCCACGTTCTGCCCTGATCTGAACGAGAGGCTGAGTGGTGCTTAGTTTTCTTAAGCTGAGCCACTTGGATTTTGCTTCCTTCAAAGTCTGTACCTCCCCTTGACCCCAGGTCCAGAGAAGGGCGCCTGCGTGGACGCTGGCCCCAGACCACCTCTTCCCCGCGCCTGCTGCACCTGCCTGCTCAGCAGCAGAGAGGGAGGCTGCGGCTGCAGGCGACTCCTGTGCTTGGGCTCCAGCCAAGCCACACAGAGGGCTGCGCAGGGAAGCTCCTTGCCTGGCTACCTGGCAGGCTGGAGGGGGTCAAGGAGGAGCGGGGCATGGTATGGGCTCCAGGGAGGCTGTGCAGGCTCCCCAGGGGGCCCATTCTTGCGCCCTGCCCAGCTCTATGCAGGGGTGGGGGCAGCTGAGCTGCATGCCCTAGGCCCATTCAGCGCAGCCCAGGCCTACTTCTCACCCATGAGCTAAGTGGGTTACCCTTCAGCTCCTTGCCCCGCCTTCCAGACAGCAACTGCCCTGTGAAAAGCTGGAAGACCAGGATCTTGGCTCTAACTCCAAGGGATAGCTTTGGACCTCCTCTTCCTCAGTCCTTTTCTGACCATCCTCCCTAATCTAGAGCCTTCCTGACCCGAGTTCCTGGGAAGGAGGGGAGGCAGTGTTTACAAACTGAGCCCCAGCACCCAGGTCTCTTGGAGTAGTGGCAAAGAGGCAGGTGTGTTTGTATATCTCTATGTGGTGCTGCCCAGCCCGGCCCAAGGCAAGATACAGGGCAGTCCCTTCTCCAGGGGTGGGGAGAAGGGGACAGGGTCAGGCATCTCCAAGGAACTTTTGTCTTCTGAGAGGACAGCTTTGCCACCTTGGATCTTGTCTCGGCCTCTGATGTGGGGAGGGATCTTAGAAGAGCCGGTGAATGCCCTGGGCTCCTGTGTCCGCTGTTTGCCACAGGGATGGGGAATTATCCCTGCTATCTTTCCAGTGTGCGGTGCCAGACGGGCATGAGTAGAGCCCAGGTGGTATAAATAGGTGGCAGTTGTGCTTGGGGACAGGAGAGCATGGCCGCAGTGTAGCTCCTTACCACAATCCTTGGCATCTTAGCTAGTGACCCATTTCTGGGGACACTTAGCAGAGATGACTCGAGTATGGACAAGACCTGAGAGGTGTGTAAAATCGGGAATGGTGCCTTTCTTTCTGGCCTTTGTTCAGAAGGTTTCCTCTCCCTCGAAAGTCCTTCTCCCCCGACTCTCAAGGGGGAGTCTCCTAGCTCTCCCAGCCAAAGGAAGCTCTCTCTGGTGCTCCCTCAAGGGGCAGGGACCCATCACTGTCCCTGTCATCCCTCCAGACCAAGGGAAACAACCATCTAATTTTTATCTGCCTCCCCAACACTTAGCACAGCCCCAGGCGTAGTAGGTGCCTAGCATATGTCTGGGAGAGAAATGACCTTTCATGTCTCGGTTAACCAGGTCATTTCAGCGGTCTGGCCTAAGCTGTGTAGTACATAGTCTCTTTGCCTTGTCAGGTAAATAAAGAATTGGACACTTGGACTCTTGATACCTACTCCAGCGCTCCGGTATTTGTGTGTCATTACTGGGGCTGAGTTTCCTTCTGCTGAGGCCATCAAAGATGTTGCCTAGACCTGGAGTCTGTGGACAGCAAAGGGGTTATCATTCATAGTGATACTAGGGCCGTCCAGGGTCATGTCGAGACAGACTGGGTAATCCATCCAGCAGCTTCTACCCTCTTCCTTGTCGCCAGTGTATCTTCCTTCTGGAGAATGGTTACCCACATAGATTAGGGGTGAGAACAAAGGTCCCTCAAAGTTGCTTCTCGTAACCGAGGTTGACTCTCCACCCATGCCTGGGAAGAAGAGGAGAAATTTTTATCTGGGCACTGGCCCCATCAGCCAGGATCGGCCCAATGATTTCACCGATAAATATTTATTTGTTATTTATGTTTGCCTGCAAACAATTGTGGAGTGTCTTCTGTGTGCTGAGCTCTGTGTAGGCCTGTAGTGTCTGATTTACAGGCTGGCTGGCAGATATCCCCGGTGGGCGGGGGGCGGTAACGGTGTGGGTGGGAGAGGCTGGGGAGCATGGTCCAGCCTTACCAGCGTGGGGTGACACACCATTCTTCTTGTCTGTCACCTGCTGAGGGACTGATGGAGGTCAGATGACATAACTTGTGTCTATCCCAGGGAAGGAACGCTAGCCCAGCTGTAGTGCCTGGAGACCTAATGTGGGTAACTGGTGTGTGTGAGAGGGAAGAGCAGTCTTTGAGTTGCCCCATCCCCTAGGCCAGAGCAAGAGTTTGCCGGTGGGGGTGAGCAAATCTGATTTAGGGTCCTAGGCCCGCGGGGGGTGAAGGAAATGGACTCAGCGTTTGACCTGTTCCCCCTCTACCAGTCGTGCATGGGTGCACATCTACAGTGTGTGCCTGGTTTTTACATAGGAGTATGTCTGTCTGAAGCTTTCCATAGTGTTACCTAGTTTAACCGTCTGTGCATGTGACGTGTCCTTCTATAGGATTTCATTCTTTGAATGCACTTTGTATAGCCACATCCCTAGTGGTGCTGCGAGTTAGGCGTGGGTCAAACCCACCAGCCCCTCTGAGAGAGCGCTGGGGCTGCCTGCTCCCACAAAGATGTACCATCCTGGAAACCCTGCCCAGGGTCCCTATGTGCTGGAATCACTCCATGGCCGTCGGTTTGGTCACTGAAGTGGTCGTGGCATCTACTTTATCCATGGTCCTCTGACCTTATCAACAAAGAAGGAAAGAGCTGGTCCTTAAGATCTCCCTTCAGGAAGAGGGGCTATGTTGAGGCTGGTTGATGCTGCCAGCTGAAGTCAGAAGAGAAAGGTGCCCTATGTTGATGAGAACTCCAGCCCCCTACTCTTCACCTAACCTTCAGCCCAGGGAACGTTCCGCTGAGCTCCCCTGGGTGGGATGGGGGTGCAAGCAGCCTGGTGGATGTCAGAGAGGAGGAGGTGCAGCCCCGTCCCCTGCAGCTGCAGCGTGGGACTCTCTTGTATCCTGGGGGAGGAGGCACCATGGTGACCGTCCCTCCCTCCAGGCATTGTCCTCGGTGCCCCGCTCTTGGAGGGCCCTGCCGCTGGGCCTCCCTTCTTTCACAGATGCAGCTCCAGGGGAGGGGCGGGGCGGAGGGCACGCCATCCCTGGCCGGTTGCCGGGGTGACCGGGCCGCAGGCATTGTGAGCAGCTCCTCTTACAGGATTACTGCTGTTGGGCTGTTCCGCATTCCTGTCCGATGGGTGAACACACAGGCCACCAAGGGCCCACTGTCCGCCGGCCGGAAGCCATTGTCTGCCCCTGAGCCCTGTGAAAGGGTGGATTAGAGGGCCCTCCCTGCCGCGGGGGTGTCCTTTTCTATTTCTGCCTCCTTTGCATCTGGAGGAGAGGCAAGCCCTCCTGGGAAATGAGTGCGAACTGAGCTGTTCACCTCGGTCAGTGTTTTCTGATTTCTCATCACTGGCTCCCATGAAGAGGAAGTCTTATGTTTACCATTCCTGCCCGTGGACAGGACTGACCAGGAACTGGCTGGCCCTGAGACAACATACAATCCCACCACCATCCCTGCCTCCCACACCCCCCACTACCCACCTAGCACCTGATGTCACCCTCCCCACCCCCTGCAGCGCCTCAGACATCAGGGACCAGCCTCTCCCATCTCACAGAAAAGAACATGGAGACTGAGAGGGAGAAGGACGCCTCTCACAGACAGTGTGGGGCTCGACCAGGCCTGGCTTGTTCTTATTCTCGCCCCCTTTCCGTGCCCTAACCTGCCCAGCCCCCATTGCTGGCCCACTCTGCAGGAGCTGCCCCACCCCCAGTGGGGTGGGGCTGAGAATGGCTGGACCCCTTGGTCTCTAAGAGAGTTGCTTGAAGGGCGTTTTGGCAGTTCCTTCTCCATTTCCTCTTGCCTCACCCCACCCTTCCTGAGCCCACATGTGCCAGCCAGAAGGTTCAGGCCTTATATGGTGCCTTCACCTTCACAGACTAAGATCACCTAGGCCCGAGGACTCTGTCTGACTGTCTGCTTTGTTGGCTGGTTGGTTATTGGCAAAGGAACGTTCCTTACCTAGACTGAAGAGATTGGTGATTGATAGCAAGTTCACAGTGTTGGATGGAAAAAGTTGTAGACCTATAACTGGCAAATAGAAAATTGTCTAACTCCCAGGTCTCTGTGTGAGTAACAGTCCGACCTTGAGCCTATCCCCTCACTGGGTCCCTGTTTAGGAGCCCTGGTGGAGTAATGATTATGCATTGCAACAAGGTCAAGGTCGACAGTTCTAAACCACCAGCTGCTCAGAGGGAGACCGATGGGGCTTACTCCTCCCGTAAAGAGTGACAGTCTCAGAAACCCCCAGGGGCAGTTCTAGCCTGTTCCACAGGGTCGCTATGAGTCCCCCTCGACTCCAGAGCAGTGAGTCTGGTTTCTTGAGTTAGGTCCCCATCCAAACAAAGGAGCCTCGTGGTACCGTAGCAAAGCACTCTCCTGGCCACTGAAAAGTCAGTGGTTTGAGCCTACCAGCCGCTCTGCAGAAGAAAGATGTGTCCAGCTGTTTCTGTAAACACTGATAGTCTTGGAAACCCCCCGGGGCAGTTTGCTCTGCCTACAGGGCCAGTGTGCGTCAGAATGGACTGGATGACAGGGGCTGGGTACCCCTTTGCTCGCTTGTGAATGGGAGTGTTGACAGTTTTATGCCTTCCTCCCAGGGTTACTGTGCAGGCCCATTTGTGTACTGATTCACCCAGTGGTTACTTGGTGTCCACTGTGTGCCAGGTGCTGTGCTTGGCATCGGGGCCCACGGGTAGCCACAAGAGGCCCACTCACTCCTCATTGTCATGGGCTGGTAGGAAGACGGCGTCTGTGAAAGTCTTCATGACAGGTTGTTGCCACTCGTTCATCGACATAAGGAGCTCGCTGGTGCGGGGGCTGCACCTGGCCCCAGTGAGACCCTTCTCTGGAGAAGGTGGTCCCCAATCTCTCTGTCCCCTGGCCCAACAGAGGCTGGGTGCTTGCTGTCGCCTGGCCGGCTGCAGTAGATGGACCAGCCGATGTCAAGTGTTGTGCAGGAAGCCTTTCCCTGCCGCCGCTCCCCTCCCACCCCCCTCACTCTCCTGCTGTCTCCATTCCCAGGTGGCAATCAAGTCCATCCGGAAAGACAGAATCAGAGATGAGCAGGACCTGAGGCACATTCGGCGGGAGATTGAGATCATGTCGTCGCTCAACCACCCCCACATCATCGCCATCCACGAAGGTGCCGAGGCCGGGCTGGGCAGGGGCGCGGAGCTGGGAGGGGGCCGGGGGAAGGGGGTCTGTGGGGATGGGCAGTCAGAATGATGACATAAACTAAGCAGGAAGTAGTGGACCCTCGAGTTGGGCAGACACGGGATTTGAAGCGCAGCTTTTCATTTTGTCTCCGGGCCTCAGTTCCCCTTTTGTTCAATGGGCTAGTGGCCCAGGGGTGGCACTCAGGCATGTCAGACACTGGGGTTGTTATTGTTCAGTTTTCCGTGACTTGAACACACCTCC